TTTATAAGTGAAGCTATAAACATCTATTTTATGGCATCAGAATTGCAGTTTTATTCTCTGCGGTTCTCTTGGACAGGAATCCAAAGAGAACTAATCTAATACATCTTACCCGTATGTCTTCGAATGAATCTGATCGATTCAGGAAAAAAAGAGACATTTTAAAAACTTGGCAGGGCATGTTTTCAGTTTGTGTGCAGAGAACTGGATCCAGATTGCCACTGACATTAAGACAGTTCAGCAGTCGGTGTTCTGCAACGTGCACTAAAATTAAATTTACAACCGTGGCAGTATTAGCCACACACAAAAAACGTGTCTATTCTCTATTGTATCTTCCCCTAGACAGAAGTATGCAGCATTGTTTAAGATTTACTAACTGAAATATATCTTTTGGGGGGAAATATTCTTTAAGATCAATAACTGTATGAAATATTAAATGCAAAAACTGTACATGTCAATTTCAATGCAAAATTAAATGCACACAAATCAGGTAAGTTACGGCACTGTTATAATCAGGAAAGTCACTATGTAAAAATGCCAACACCTTATTCAAAAGAAGTGCGTGCTGCCCTGTGCTTACTCAGAGTTAAATCTTCTAGCTTTAATGGCATAATACCTTTTTATTACATTTTATGACTCCAGCGAGCATCACAAGGCCAACTGTGCTGTATAGAAATCGCTCACTCCCTACAATTCTAGCTCTTGTAGCATCAGCAGAATTGTTAACAGACCTCCAATTGCAGACTCTTTATTTCAGGTATCAATGCACAAACCAGAAAAGACCAGGTTGACCTTTAGATTCTGGCAGCATTTGTGAAACTGTCAGAAAATAGAAAAACATTTTACCTGTAGACTAAGCGTGACGGGGCGCTGTCACAGAAGCCCCCTTGGGATTGTTCCCCGGTGTGCTGATCATGTCACTGATACCTGCCTTCTTACTTTCTGGGGCTCCCCACCCGTGGTCCCTCTAAGCAGTGCAACAGCACAACTTCACAGGTGATCAATCAGCCCCGCCCTGCCAGTCAGCTCCCTGCATAGAGCCCTGAGCCTCTGACTGGGCGGGGCTGATTAATCACCTGTGAAGCTGTCCTGCTGCACAGCTTGGAACACCGCTCCCCACCACCCTGTCCCGCTGAGCCAAATCCTCTGGTCTCTGCCAGATAAGGCACAGATTTGGGATAAACGCCGCCCTGGAGAGCAATCCAGACACCAAACCACTTCAGCTTTGGGAGGATGCAGTTCTAGGGCACAACACCCAGGAAACCAACCCTCCAAAAACCCTCCATAAATCCATCTTCCTTTGTGTAAACATTTTACACAGTGAACGCTCATCCCCTTTATCAATGACAGAGAGATATGCACAATGGTTGTTCCCCCCAGGTACCAATTTACACTGGGCCTGATAGTAAACAAAAGTGGGTTTACTAACAGTAGGATTTAAGCAGTTGCAAGTGAAAACTGACAAATCAAAGTAAGTTACTACATTTAAATGAAAAGAAAAGGCATAGCTAGTTCTAATTCACTAAAACACATATTGCAAGCAGTTCTTACTCTAAAAAGCTGTTCTTATTTCAGGCATAATCTTCAAGCCAGAAACAAACACTTTCACTCTGATTTGGGTCTCCCGCCCTCTTTGTATCCCTTTGAGGTATGTCAGGTGAGCTAAAGACAAAGGGCTGATAGCTTCCCATTGCTTAAATAGACTTTCCCCCAAGGTGAGAATCTTTTGTTTACATCTCCACCTTGAGTGGAAATTTACCAGGTACAAGATGGACCCCAGCACCAGGCAGTACGGTCACATGTTTTTCTAGGACCAAACACTGCTTAGACTTTTCTAGAACCAAACACTGCTTAGACATGGAGATTTAGATGGGATTGGTCCTGCCTAGAGCAGGGGGCTGGACTTGATGACCTTCTGAGATCTCTTCCAGTTCTATGATTCTATGATAAGGGGATGGTTTGATGAGATAACATGATCTTGGTAACTAATTGACCATTCATTATCAGTGGGAAATAGGTCAAGGGAGGGATAATAGGAGTTACTATACAGAACTTTCTGGGTGTCTGGCTGGTGAGTCTTGCCCACATGCTCAGGGTTTAGCTGATCGCCATATTTGGGGTCGGGAAGGAATTTTTCTCCAGGGTAGATTGGCAGAGATCCTGGAGGTTTTTCGCCTTCCTCTGTAGCATGGGGCGCAGATCACAGCTGGAGGATTCTCTGCATCTTGGGGCCTTCAAAGTATTTGAAGGCTTCAATATCTGAGATATAGGTGAGAGGATTATTCTAAGAGGGGTGGGTGAGATTCTGTGGCCTGCACTGTGCAGGGGTCAGAGTAGATCAGTCATAATG